ATTCAAAATGTTAATTGTATTACTGGCTAACTAATCATAACAATTAGAACCACTCAATCGAGATTCGTGACTCGATTCCCTACTGTTATTTAAGGTTATTTTATTAAAACAATTATAAGAAAGTAATATAATTTATAAAACAATTGTCAACGAAAATTAGATCAAAACCAAAGTATATACTGAATCTACACTGAGTATATACTGACTATCAACTCAAAATAAACTTATTTTTTAAGCTGAATATGGAGACACAAATGTAAATTGCTGTATGTTTTATTAATAGTTGGCCAAGAGCATAATTAACATTTTAAATTGTCAAGTTAGCGACTCAAGTAAATTAGTTTATTGAATTCATTTTCGCCCATTGCTAACATCCTCATTGAAATAACATTACATGTAATTCTATATAATAGTAATGCGTTTATCGTTAATCATTTTTTGAATTTAACACAGATCACTTTATGTATTGTCAATTGAAGTTATGTTATTAATAAGACATATGAAAAAATAAGACACGGCTGAAAGTGAACTCAACAAGCTAATTTATTTCACTCGCCAACACTAATTAACTTAAAATGGTAATTATTTAACTGACAGACCATTTATGGAATTTATAACAACTCGAGTTATAATAATTTAGAAATTTTCAAATTATCACCTTGATGGAAACCTATTTTTTTTCTATATAAACCATTTTAAGCTCGTTTGTTTAAAGCCCTATAAATAATAGAACTAAAATGAACTTGGAGAGATTAAATCATTGAGTTTTATAGGTTATAAATGGTTACATTTTCTAATATATACTGTATAACACTAATAATTGTTCATGCTACTCACATTTGAAACGCAATGGTCTAAATTGTTTTTAATTACTTATTCTATATAATTATTTAAAAGCAAACTTACAAAAGTGCCAGGAACACCAATGGCAACGAACTATGAACTAGTTTCCAGTCATGCCATCTGATGGCCGACATGTTATAAATGGGATCGATGTTGTGTATGAGGTGCCGACGTACAGGTGTCGTGTTATTAGCCAACACTAGCCACTGAGATGTGCCTGATAAAGGTTTAGTGAAATGCGTGAAAATATCATAATTTATATAAAAGATTATTCAACTTTTACGCGATTACTACTAAAACAGATTGCATTCATAGGTATTGCGAGTAATTACCAAGATTATTACCAACTTATTAACCAAGATTTTTGAAACTTATACTTTTGGATGTAATACTGGAAAGTAGAACATGGCATCAAGTAGGGCAAATGGTTATTACAGAGGTTAGGTTAGGTTATTATAGGCTTGCATTCTCGCAAACCTGATTGGATGACTAGTTTTGACAGGCATTTCGATGCCAAACCACAATTATATTTCTCGAAAATTATATTTTAAAATTCTGAGTTGATCTAGTTGATCATAGTCTAAGCTTGTGAAAAATTATCTCATTTCGTAGTTAGGTCAATTGACCGGTTCATGTTGTTGCCATATCTTGACAAAAATAAGTGCTATCATTATGAAAGTTAAAAAATTTTTTTTATATACTTACAAAACCCTAATGATTCGGGTTGATTTAATACACTGGAGCTAACCTGACACTAATTTGGCATGTTTATATTTTTAAACTAAACCTTCTATATTGGAATGCCACATTGAGCTAGTTCATAAGCGAATAAAGTGTTACCGTAAATGTTGTCTATTGGTTCAATGGGAACGCCTATAGCATCCAATAGAGTAGGCATTATATCGGTGACATCTATTAGGGCATCGGATACGTAACCACTCTGTCGTAGTAATGGACTCCATATAAAGGCTGGTACTCTGAGGGCTAAATGTATACACAATGAAAATAATTAAACATTTTAAATTATCAATTAAATATAATCTCTTGATATTTAGGGTGTCACATTTATTTACTACATTTTGAGATTGATAATTAATACATTAAATCCGAAGTAATCCTAATGAGTTATACAAAACTGTTGACCATTTTTTTTAATCAGATTAGATACTATTATAATATTTTGTGAATATGTCCTTGCCCAAAACGCCTAAAACACTAGCCTTGAAAATCTAAGCCTATAAAGTAATACATTTGATTAACTCAATGACCAGCGAGCATTTACTTAATTTAGGATATGTAAAGTTAAGTTAGGTTAAGACCCAGTTAACTAACCAAATTAAAAATACATTTATGCCCACTGGTCAGTTATTTGAGTTTAGACCTTTTGGTTTAGGCGTTTTGTTTTTTAAGTAGATTAATTATCAGTACAATTATACCACATTTAATGTACTCATTTTGAATTTTGAATTTTAAATATATCAATTATTTATTATAATGTGTATTATAATTACCCCCTTCAAATAATTCGCCTTTAAGTCCACGTAGAGGCCAATTCGAGCCACCATTTTCTAATTTCAGATATTTTCAAATTCACCACCATTTTCAAATATTTAATTAAATTAAATTTTAAGAATATTAATTTAAAAATTGCTTATTGCTAAAAGCCCCTCTAACCTTAACTTAACTTTTAAATACAATATAACTTACTAGGGTTCCCAAATCCCAGGGGCATGACTTTCAAGGAATCGATCATATGCTCAAGGAAATATTTTTTATATGACACTTTAAATGGACCTCAAGGAAATTTATGAACAATTTTTGAAAAATCATGAAAATCACGAAGAAATTTTTGGAAAACAATGGGATTCTCAAGGAATTTAATTTTAAAATTTAAGAACCCTACAACACATGACTACACGCAAGGTCTAGTGAACTCGGACGGCAACAATTAAATTAACTTAATAGTTTTCCATGTTTAAATAGTTTAAACTCCAATATTGCGTTCACATATGATCCACTGGGTGCTTAAACGGGTTATGTATTTTTTTAATGCAAACCGTACCAGTATTCATAACATAATCATTTCATTTTTCAAACTAATAAACAATATTAGATACTGTACTATAAATGAAATGATTATGTTATGTATACAGTTTGAATTGAAAAATACATAACCCTTTTATGCACGTTGATGATCATATGGGATTGCCTTTATCGGCACACATAGATTCGTACCAAAATAGTGACCTCCATTGTCCGACACAAAAACCACTATGCTATTTTCGAGCATTTGTTTGGACCATAAACTATCGACAATATGTCCAATGGATTCATCCAACGAGTAGGCGGCACCCGCAAATGCACGCCTACTAAGAGGCTCTATATAATCAAATTGATCAATGTTATATTGTGGCGCCTCCAGTGCCAGTGCGTCTACAGACTTATGCATGGCCTGATACGCCACCATTAAAAACAATGGTTGTGACCCATTATGTTGATCTATATGTGAAATATTTATAGTACTGTATTGAGCATTGAGTTTCGAACGTTACAAATAGTTACATTTTCTAATCTATATAATATTAATAATTGTTCATGCTACTCACATTTGGAACGTGTTAAAATTTATAGGTCAAATGACCAAACACCCTTAATAATGCTTATGCTTTATATACGTTGATGTTGATTTGACCTACGTTGATTTGACCTACAATACCTATAAAGTTAAAATTTTAACCAATCTATAACGATTCCGACTATCAAATCATTGCATGTGATATATGGTTGGAATCAGCTTAATGAGTAGATTAAGAAATTATCTTCTTGAGTTGAATTAAATAGAATTATCTTCTTTGACCATGGAGGAATATGAGCTGTTGCAGATTAAGAAGTGATTTCCTTAACCTACTCATTGAGCTGATTCCAACCATATACCACATGCAATGATTCGATGGTCGGAACCGTTAATATTTTAGTATTTTAGGTATTGTAGGTCAAATCATATACAACCCTTTATATATCAGTTTAGGTTAATAAAGTAATGTACAATTTCCGAAGGTCAGAGTCCATTTCTTATAATTGTCAACAAAAAGCCAGTTACAAGAAAATTAGCCTGCTTAACTATCAATAATTTATTGTGATCGGTATGTTTCGGTACTTCGTTCCATATGCTTTTACATGACATGCTTAAAAATATAGCAGGGTCGAGTGACCTATTTCGTATAAGCTATGCATATATATTTCTAACCAATAATTTGAACAGATCGATTCGTGAAATAATGTGTCGAATATATATCGGACACATTTGTTATTGAATCCATATTATGCCGGAAGTCGAGTCCGCACTCGTGTTCATAAGGTTTGGCTTCGCAGCTCACGTGCGAGTAATAGGGTTTGTTGGCCGTCCAGTAACCCCAGTGCGAGTCGAAGCCCCTGTATGTCGGCGTATACTCTTTACGTGCGAAGCCTAAATGCCATTTGCCTGTTACATGTTATAGGAAATGTCTTATATCACTAAATATATATATATATCTCTGATATATTTATTCAAAATGAGGTTTATATATAGGACATGAATTTAAATATTTTTCAATGCTCTCGAGAAAAGTATAAAACTTAATAAAGTTTAATATAAGTAGCATGCATTGTACATAACTAAGTTTATGACTAACAAATTAAAGTTAATACTGTTTACTATTAAAGTGATTACCTAAATCATAGACGTTCAAAATTTTAAAAATCTCCAAAATAGTGTTTTATAATAATATTAAAATTTTTAACTATTCAAAACACTAATATTTTCTGATTTAAATGTGACTAAGATTTGTAATTAAAACATTTTTATTTATTAAACAAAAAATGATATGAAAATGATTAAAATACAAATTCGTAAGAGATTTCTAAA